GGGTCGCAAGACTCTTGGGCCAGGCTTCGGGGACCGCCTGATGCGGCATCCCCCATGCTAGCTATTACCCTAATGGGCTCGGCGAGGCAATCCGCCGAGTCCGACTTCGACTCCGGTACTGATACCGATGCGTCTTCAGATGATGAGGCCACAGCCGTTGATTACTCGGATATGCTTGCATACCTCACTGAAGAGCAACAAGCGCAATGGTTATTTTTAGGCTACCAAAAACTCAAGCGTCGCTGGCGAAGGTCCATGAAGAAACCAGCTCGAAAGGCAAGGCGTGTCGCACGACGATCACCCAATGGAAAGGGCAAAGGTCGAAGCAAAGGTAAAGGTAAGCGTCGGCGATTGCATGGTAGAGGCATACTAGCATTCTTAGCACATCTTACTGGACCACGGCATGAAGACATGTTTTTAGGCACTGGCAGAAGCCGCAGGCATACATCAGGAAGAGGCAAAGGGCGACGGGGAAACCCAAAAGATGCCAACGGCAAAACTGTGGAGTGCGACATATGCCACCGCGCACAGCATTTCCGACGCGACCGCCCTCAAGGTGATGGAAGAGGCAGGGGTCCGTCAATACATCTGACTCAAACAGATTCCGACATGCAGCAGGTTGACTGGGAGTCTCTTTTAGCTGACCTTGCCGATAGCTCAGCCACAGTTGTTAATTTCATGGCTGCCAGATATCTCCGCGCCAGCATGACCCTCGAGAAGTACGCCAGCGAGCTGGTCGAGGAGGTGTTCACTGGCCACAGCGACATCGATTTGGCAGAATGGCTGGGCATGCCCATCGCGGGGCAACCTGCACATATTCCACCAGTCGAGAACTTCCACATGCCCGCCGAAGGAGATGCTGACATGGGGGGGGGGGGGGGGGGGGGGGTGGCGCCCGCGGTTTCAGAAGTTACCATTCCTGCAACAGGCGAGGAAATACAGTTGATGCTTCATCCTCGGGTTATTGGAAATCCGAAAGATATGGAATTAAGTAACGATGATCCTTTGCGGGGAAGCCCGCGAGACGCTAGTCATTAGCGCATTCAATGCGAGTTTGGTCAGAATGAATAGTTTCAGTATGCTTTTGTTGCTTCAGACCGGCCCATGAGCCGCCAGAAGCGATCGGCAAGTCGCCAGATCTGGGGGGGAAAGCGTCGCGACGACGACGAGGACGAAGACTGGGAAGATAGCGACCGCATGATACGTCGCGGTCGGTTCCCCAGTCGCTCACCTGATCGCACGTGCGCTCGCTCCAGTGGCGCTCGCTCTAGCGGTCTTCAGCGCTCTCATCTTCCTGGCGCGGGAACTCCAGAGGCCCCGCCATGGCAGGCCGATAGACCTGCCACTCCCCCGAGGAGGGAGCCCCTGTGGGGGCGCCCACCTCAAGATGATCAACCGCAAGAAGAGCATCCAGATGGCAAACTTCAGCGCCTCGTTGGTTACGCGGAAGCTGGATTGGCTCGTCAATGCATACCCCAAGAAACAATGCAGCATTGGCGGGGCCAGGGTGGGACTGAACATCAGATCCGTCACTGGCGTTCTCTTCGCAAGATTAAACGATGTGAAGACGGCAAGATCACTCGCTCGAAAAGGACTGGACCTGTTAAACAAAAAAATGTGAAGCGCGATCAGAAGAGAACTGTCATCGAGGAAGGGAAGCTCTGTGGTTGTTGCACATGCCCCGCCCATGCAGACCACAGGCCCGGCCGCCCCATGAGACGCCCGTCAAGAAGTCCGAACTTCACGAGGACACTTTGGGTTTGGTCTCATGGTGATGGTCGAGGGTACTGCGCCGATCCTAAGAAACGCCATATAAGAGGCGGAAGACGACTACGAGCAAGCAACAGACAGTGAGATATCCCAATCAATCGAAATTGGCACTCGGGACAGGCGGGGAAACCTGCTGATCCTAGACCAGAAGAAGATGACCAACAAGAAGCTGATGAAGATGAAGATGATGAGATGGCCGAAGAAGTTGACCCCACAGACGCGGCCCCTGCAGGGTGCGCGTCAGACGACTCCATTGTTACGGACGCCACGTGCAAGACGAACACTTCGATTCATCTTAGGTCTGTTGTTACTGAGGCGATGGATCTTTCTCCTGAAAGGCGGATGGCTTACCGCGCTGAAGGTGTAGGCGGGGTAAAGACAATAATAGCAG